TCTTGGTGACCCTATTTCAACGTGAGTTACTGAAATGCCATTTTGTCAATAGTCTAACTGCTTTTGAAACTCAATGTTATTGATGGGAATTTCTTTCATTCTTTTGATCCTCTCTATAAAATGTCACTTTTACAGCAGTCCCTTGTCCTCTTCTCATGTATTTTGCAAAACTCCACGTCCTCTTCTTGTTTGTTTTATTTATTTAAAGTGTCATGCATTTTTAACTGCTAATGAAGCCTTATTCACATCTCAGTCTCAGAGTGTGGTAGGAAGGGAGGGCGCTCCTTCTGAAATGAGTGTATGAAGAGATCTCCCTCACACTTGTCATGGATGTTGCACTGTGACTATAATGACCCAGGCACCTCCGGTCCTATCTTTGCCTATGATCTTTTCCCCCATTCCATTCTGCCTGACTACACAGAAAGGCCTTTTTTTCTCTCTCTCTGTCAATCTCTCTTTTAAGAAAGAATGTCTTCCAGGATAGTTCAGATGTTTTTGGACCCAAAGTAGAACATCCTTCTAGTATTTTTCACAACATAAAATTCTTACCTTGATCACATTATTATTCTGTTATGGTTTTAAGTGACTAATTCGTTGGAACTGAGTACTTGTGGACATCATGCTTGAGGCATTGCATGCCCCTTAATTAGAGCTAGAAATCATTTATATCCCTTGATCCTCTGCAGCAAGTTGTATTTTTAATGAATCAGGTGGCATCACACCATAAGGTGGTGTTTTAGAAGGTATTCACATATTCTGGGAATTTATTTTCACTAAAAAGACCAATTTTGGAATTAAAGATTTGATTGCAGAATGAGTGTTGTGTTTGGTGAGTTAGGGCATGACCAGGACTCTTTCAACCTATATTGAAGTATTTAGGATCAAGTTTTGCTCCATTTTTGCTTCCAACTCAGCTTTTTTCTAATGCACTTGGGAGGCAGCAGATGATGGCTCAAATACAGAGGCCCTGCCACCCTGACATGAGCGATCTGGAGGACTCCATCCTCCTCCTGGCTTCAGCCTGGTACGGCCATGCTGTTGTGGGGACTTGAGGTATGAACCAGCAGATGAAAGATTTCATTCTCTCTCCATCTCCCTCTTTTTTTCCCTACCACTCTGACTTTCATGTAAATAAAAAGCCAATAAATATTTATAAAAACATTTTTATTGTTTTTTCAAGAAAAGGCAGAAGGTGATAATAGAATTGAAAGAAGGAAAAAATGAGTTAATTTGTACAGTGCCTGTGTCAAAACTGATTGAAGGATATTTGGGTGAGGTATTTTTGGAAACAGAAGTGAGAACTCAGGAAAACATGAAGTTAGAATTGAGAAGAACAAGAAACAGTCTGATGGGAAGATCAAGCATATACTAAGATACATAGAAATTCCTGGAAAAATAGAGGATAAAATGAAGGCTTTGGAAAGTTTTGTGGAGTCTTTTTAAAAATAGTTTTGGTGCTTAAATGTTTAATATTTCGGGAGTCTTTTGAAATTGGAGTCTATAAAATGAAGATGTCTGATATTAACTTTATACTTACTTCAAAACCATAACATTTTTAAGTACCTTTTAGATCCAGCTGTTTATCCCTCTCTCAGCTTGAAAGTCAATTTCTGTTAAAATATTCAGATTTATTCTAATCTGAGAGGAACTGCAATGATTTATTTGCTATGCTTAAAACCACAATGTAGTTTTAATAGCTCCATGCCTTTACAAGATGACATAATGCAAATATTCTAGATCCTTCCTTTTTCTCTGTGGTGCAGTCACTCAAAAGGAAAATATGTAAGATACAGAAAATATTATGGACTAAGTGTTAATCTGTTTTTTTTTTTGTCAATGACTTCTTCAGCAACAACACAGAAAACAGTGCTTGAGATACTGTGAAATCATCATGTGACTCACTAGAGAAGCAGGGAGGGAGCTATCTTAAATCCACAGACATCTGCAGAAACAAACTTTATTTATATAGTTAGTGTTTATTTGGGGAATTTTAAAAAGAAGGTCCTCACTGTGCACCTCAAGGCATCTGTTCCATTTACAAAAAAAAGAAAAAAAATCCCACAGACCAAACCAAATGAAAATTTCTCCTGGGTATTATTTTGCAGAAAGATAGAAAATCAGGCCCAGGGGAGAGCTGGTTTTTTGTGCATGAGGTCTTAACAGTTTCTCAGTGTTAAGCATGGGTGACAGTTTTAGCTCAGGACCCAAAAGCAGGGTTGTGGGGCACCTGGGAGATCTGGGCTCAGTTGATTCATTTCTCAGGGTTTCTGTTTGCAAAATGGAGCAAAATAGATGTTAAGATTTTTTTTGCTGTTGCAGTTTATTTTCAGAGATGAACCTTAAAATACCTGGGTATAATTTTAGCACCTGAAAATTTAGGGCAGATTCATTCTTCTTACACACCTTCTAGGCTATGTTCCCAAAGTAAACACACTCCACACGGGCAAAGTAGCCTGCGTGTTCTGGCTACCTCCTGGAGGTGATGGCTTTGTTTCCACTAAAGCGTTCTACACCCATTTTGGACCTCTAGAGTCCTGCCTCCTCTCATCAACCTTCCTTTTAAAGTACCTGAGAGGTGGAAGCAGGTGTTCAACTATTTGGGTCTCTGTCAGTCATGTGGGAGAGCAAGATAGGATTCAGGGCTACTGGCCTCAGCCTAACCCAGCCTTGGCTGTTGCAGGAATTTGGAAAGTAAAACAGGGTATGGAAGATGTTTTTGCTCCACATCCTTTTCACTCTGCCTTTTACATCAATTAGTTAACCTTAAAAATGTAAATGGATACATATGATTATGTTAGAAGAAAATACACATTCAATTGAACTTCCAAAATGACAAAAAAAGCATTTACAAATATGTTTGCTTTAACTATTATTTTTAAAAATATCTTGCATCTCACTCCTTTATCACTGATTCTCCATAAAACTTGTCATTATCCTGGTGTTGGGTATTACTGCCTTACTTTTAAAAAATTAGTTTTATTATTTTGCATGACACAGTTTTTTAGGTATAGGGGTTTCCTCCCTTCTCTCCCATTTATTCCTGCCCATTTCTCCTGCCATCACTTTCCCCATATTATTACAACAGTATATAGTCCTCTAGTAACAGTACAAGTTTGACATTCTGCTATTTAAGTTCATCATGGAATTGTAGGCATATACAAATCTAGAAAATCTAATATCGTACTGTCAAGGTCTGTTGACCTGTTATTCCGCCTTTTATTTGGGTATAGAGATGCCTATTGTAACATATCTTCACTTCCAGGCTTACTTCTAAAATTAGAGCAACAGTGAGAGGAAGTCATAGAGATAACTTCCTGGCAGCTTCCCAAGATTGTGGGAGCTTGAAGATAAAAATTTCCCTTTTCATACAAAGCATTTATAAAATCCAAAGATTGGCATTATCAAGCTTTTATGACTCATGTGCCAATCCCTGTTCCTATTATTGCATCTGAGGGTGTGTAATCTTGTAATTGGCCACATTTGAGTCATGTGATGTTATAACATCAATTCTTGCCTAAACAATCCTGCTAAGGGTGGGAATTCTGTGTAGGAAGGATGTGTCTGCTTTGTTCAATGATTTTTTTTTTTCACAAAACCATATACAAGATTCTCAGTAAGATTCATTGATTCAATGAATAAACAATAATTCTACTGTCTATTCCTTTCTGTGTGTTTTACTTTTGTGTGTTTTATCTATTGTGTGTTTTATATTTTGTGTGTTTTATTTTGCAGGCAAATCTTGAGTAGAGCTTGCATGTTTGTTGCTCAAAAATCTGTTAGTGTCCCAAAGCATATGTAACTAAGCTGCAAGCAAATTAATATGTTGTACAAATCTGCAAATACCATGATGCTTTATTTCTTTTCAAGCATCATTTCCTTTTTTTGCTTTCCTGCTTTTTCTTACAGCAGTAGCTCCCTGTACAACCACATGCTTCATACTTTTCTTAAGTTGCTCTGATTTCTGTTCCTTTATTTCTACTGATAGATGGGCAGTTTATATGACACATCTTCGATGAAACTTCATTTGCCCAATAGGATGTAATTTTGTTCTCCAATCTGACACTTAAATCACAGAAAACTTTGATAGTACATGTATTTGCATTTTAGGGGGATACAAAGCAGGCACTGAAGTCCACTATGATCCCACACATGGCATGGCACAAGGTTTTGTAGAGAGCTAAGGTGAATGTGTTGAAGTGAGATGATTAATGGGGACAAGGTCGCTAGCTTCAGGGCACCAATTAGGACTACTTTATTAAAGGCTGAATTGCATATGATGAGAAACTCATGGGGGGTGTTTTAACTCTTATCTCTTACTTTCTCTAAAATTAAAAGACCCTGTAAAGTAATTATAATTTTGTGTCAGAGAAATGTGCTTTCTGGAGAAGTCTAATTTTATACCACTGTGCTCCTTTGGCTGAAACTCGATGACTCTATTTTGATCTATTCCTAGTGAATTTTCACTATCTGAATCTCAAGCTTGAGAAAAACTTGAGTCAAAAGAAATAACATTTAATAGAAATCTCCAAAGAAGATACATATTAGAATTTCAAACCAGGGCAAATTCTCTACATTTCCTGAGGCAAATATGGATAATTTAAAATTTCATCAAGGTGAACATATTCCTGTCAAGTTTATAAGTGAATGTGGGTTGAGAAGTCTAGAAATCTCAGGAGCACTGATAATCTTTTTATTATGATTTCTTGCCCAATACAGGCACAATCTGATTGTTATTGTATTATATGTTGGATTTTTAGTATGTTGAGATTCTGGAGTTCAGAACAGATAGGATGTAATAAATGGGATAAAAAAGTACAATAACTTCTTCTAACTGAATTTCTCAGAAACTTTGTGAAACAATTCCTTATGGACAAGATAAATGGGAAAATATTAGACTTTTCTGGCTGTAAAAGATGACCTGCTCCTCTTCCACTCTTGTCGCTTCAAGCTCTTGTTCTCCTGGTCTGTTGATTCTGTTCTCTGATGCCTTTCCTCATCAGGTGGCAATGTTGATTTGTGCTGGATTCTTGATTGCATGGATTCCTTATGCAGTGGTCTCTGTGTGGTCAGCTTTTGGAAGGCCAGACTCCATTCCAATACAGCTTTCTGTGGTGCCAACACTCCTTGCTAAATCAGCAGCCATGTACAATCCCATCATCTATCAAGTCATTGATTACAAATTTTCCTGTTGCCGAACGGGTGGTTTGAAAGAAACTAAGAAGAAGTCTTTAGAAGACTTCAGGTAAAATTTCATAAGTTGGAAATAAGTCATATTATTTGTTTTTCAAAATTCTGTGGGGTACAAGTTACTTGGTTGTGCTATTTTAGGTTTAGAATATATCACCTAGGAGCTTAGATAAGGAGGTCTTTGTTTTCTGTTCATTGAAATTCTTGAGATTAAGATATCAGGAATTAAGGTACTCAGGAGCAACATGGGTAAGTACTGGGACATGTGATCTTGGCTTTGATTTTGGGTTAAGTAAAACACAAAACAGTATCTACTTGAGCAGCTATCGTATATGCATGTCTCTTCTTTATTTGGAACTAAACTCATTTTACTTCAACAGCGCTGTTCCATGTGGCATTGATCTGAAATGAAATGCTCATGACCAAATGATTCTCTTATCTGAGAAATCATTACAGTAAGTGTAGAATTTGGGAAGGCAGAGGAAGGAGTTACAGGTGGTATTTTTTCTTCCCCCTTTGTGTCAGGTTATTGTAGTTTTATAAGAGCCCCTTGTTTTCTTTCTCTTATTCAGATGAGGAAATTGTGGTTCAGGTAAGGTTAAGTGTGTTGCCCATATTTAGATAGTCCGAAAGCAGTGAAGTAAGGATTTACATTCATGACTATAGGGTTCTAAAACTTAAGCCCTTTCATCTGTTTCTACTATACAGAAAACAATGGAGTTGGGAAATCTGGTACTAGTTCTTTTCTGAAGACCCAGAAGACTCAGGGTAGATGATGTGCTGGGGCCCAGTGGTGGTCTTCTGTGTCCATTGACAACTAGTTTTACTGCTAAAATGTAGATGAGGCACTTGCATTCGTGATCTGAGGCAAGCAATGTTGAGAAGGTAGCAGGTTCTCAGATGCCCTTAATTATTATTCACTTGATGTGTAAAAAGTTTTCAATACTCCTTACCTTGAGTAATTATGAAACAGTAGAAGAAAGATTGACCTAACTGTGGGAAGGAGTTTGTTTATTTTTTATTTTATCACTGCACTTGAAGAAATGGTGAAACTCATGAATTTTACTTTAACCATGTAGATGCATTATCAAATGATAAAAAATTATAAGGCACTAATTAAAGGTATTAACATTATTGAGGTAGTGTGGATAAAGAGAGACAATTTCAAGAGAGACAACCACTGTTGAAATTCTGTTGTTAGCGGTAGTTTTATAGTTTTGGGCAAATTCAAATCAGAGTTAACAGTACACTCTATAATGTGGATGAGTTGATAGCAATCCCCAGATCCTTAAGTTGTTAAAATTAACCGAATAGGATGTGTGGAAGGGCTTAGGAGACAATTGTTAACGGGTTTTTATGTTGCTGGAGGCAGGTGCATTCTCTCTTGAACTGAACTGAATAGCTGGATCCAAACACTATAATGCATATTCTTTGGAAGTAATAACACTTTGTCCTTATCAGCTATTGACACTTTATTATGAATACAGGTAGAGTGAATAATTCTAATGGAGTCCTTGAAGGAGAAAATAATGGGCACTTCTTCATCTTAAGTTGGGGATTTGACAGGAGTTGCTGGAAGCACTTCATCTACCTCATTATTTTGCTTCTGACTGGCTCTGTGTTTTCTATGTTCACTCACCAATGTGAGCAGCACATAAATATTCAGCACTCAATGGGAAGAAGGAAATGTAGGTGGAAGCCAAGTTTGGCTTAGGACAGAAACCGCTAGAGCAATCAGCCAGTCAGGGAGACTCTACGCTTCATCTGTTCCTATGGGCCATATTTTGCAGTACAGAACAATAGCCTTGCTGGAGCAGGACTGGGACTAGCTCCACATTGGAGAATGTCCACTTACAGTGAGGGAAGCAGGCACTAGTGCTGAGCAGCAAACAGCCCTAGAGATCCAGAGGTTGGGGTGCCTTTCGGGAAGGAATACTGATGAGGGGTTGGATCACAGATAGCATTTTATTATTATTTTAAAATTTTTATTGCCCATGTTCGATGAAGAGCAGAATGCTGAAGGTGGCATCAGATTTCTTTTTATCCCTACAAAAAAGCCAAAAAAAAAACCTTCTGCTTATCCTTGCTGCTGTTAAGGAACAAGCAAGTGAATAATTTGATGACCCACAGAGTGATGTCCGGAATGGCTATTGTGTTATCAAGACAATTAAATTGAATTAAGCTGAATTAATTGATTTCATACATTCTGCTTTTGAGCTCTGAAATGTGTATTTGCTTAAAATAGAAGACTCTGCTGGGAAACATTTTGATTTCAAATAAAAAATACTCTAATGTAGCAAATACGTGAATATGAAAGTACATCTTGAATGGTTTTTAACAGTTTATTACCAGTTAGACTCACTCCTAGCTTCCTTCTTGGTCCTACTTAATTTTAGTAGAAGTTGAACTGGCTTCAGGAAATGCATAATGTGAAAAGATAATTCCATTTCAAGGATGTAAGTAGTTAATCTGCTCCAAATCAGAACTGTTTTGGGGAACATGCTCTTAAAGACTGGTTGTTTATCTCCAAATTGTTTTTCTCCTCTAAAACCACAGCAGCAATATCAGTTTCAATGTGTACCTTTTATCTTGTTTTTAATTTGCTCATGCAACTCCGTGATGACCAATACAGTTCAAGAGATTTGTCATTTGTTTGAGCCCAGTGATAGGGCAACAAAATGTTATTGTTGTCCCCAACTTGGTCTCTATAGTATTTACTGGTATCTGTAGCAGTCTCTCCTATTTTGTAAATTATGTTTTGCCACTTGGTGATATAAACCAGACACCTGGGAAATTGTGAAAATTGCTTTATGGACCCACTTGAAGAGATGCCACTTTAGTTGGTTTGGTTTGGGCTTAAGCTTCAGTTGTTTGTTTAACTTCTCAGATGATTCTCATGCACAGTCACCTGGAAAATCAGTGAGCTCCTGAGGCCAGCTATGTCAGTGACCAGGAAGGTGACTTCAGATGCTGGGCCTTACTCAGGTGGAAACAAAATGCTCAAAGACTCGGACATGGATCAGTGAAGATGGGGGCATTTTACTTGCTAATATTTTAGTAAAAATAAAGAATAAGGCCCCCAAACCTAGCATTGCTATCATAATTAAATTTCCACCTGACTGAAATAGTTTGCAATGCTGTGGGTGAACAGAGGGTCCTGCTCAAATATAGGTAGCTGTGCAGTGAGTTTTGGTCTAGAAAGCAGGAAACTCGCAATGGCACAGGACTTATGTGGTAAACCAGTAGCTTGGTGTTTGGGGAAATCTGCCCAAGGGATTCATTAACTGCATATGACAGATTTATTATTTTTATAGCTTTCAAAATAAAATCAGACATCAAAGCTAAAGTTCATAAAAATGGAATGAAACAATGTTTATTTTGGCATGAAAATATCTGAGATTCTTGCTTACAAGAGACCTTCAGAAACTTCATAGGTCATGCACGTTAGAAATAAAGTTATGTGGGTTTTGTGCCAGTAAACTTGCATTTTAATTCCATTTCTGAAGCATCCTTTTATGTAAGCAGGTATGCCTTGGTGTGTGTAGGTGTATTTGTGTATGTGTATGCACATTAAGTTGTGCTTTTCTTCCCTCTCTAGGCTGAACACTGTTACCACTGTCAGGAAGTCTTCTGCTGTGCTGGAAATCCATCAAGAGGTATGAAGATGGAAACGACATCACTCATGGACACAAGTTGTTTGCCTTTTCACTGCTGTTAACATTTGGTTGTGGCCATACTTTTCTTTCCATATTATATTTTTTTACATTTTGTATACTTTTCCTCTAGTTTATCAAGTCAGGGTTTGCTGGGAAATCCCAATGGACGAATGGAAACTAAATTACAGGCTGTTACTTTAAGGAATATTATTAGGATGAGCATCCCTGGAACTTTTTTTTTTTTTCTCTTACAACATAAAACCTGTTCTCATGCCAAATAGTATTAAGTCTGACAAATTAACAAAAATGTTAAAAGGTTATTCCATTATGTGCTATGGTGTTATTTAATTTTACTGTATCATAGTCATTGCTTTTTATCACTATAGGGGCAGGATGGTGGTTCCTAGAGCTCGTGTTGGTGGGCAGTTACCGAGACCATGTGTTGGGTCATGGCTTTTCACTGGTAGATGCTGCTTATTCTCACAGTCATTTCCTCTTTATGTTGATGGGATGACAGTGATTACGCACAGGAGTTCTTTGGGGAAATCAGCTTTGCCTTAAACCCCTAAATAGAAAACTCTCTCGTGTCTTATACTCTGAAAACAAAAATAAACCCACTGATGACAATTTTACACATGTGGGTTTTTCTCATCAAGTTCTATTTACTGACTTAGTGGAAGAAACAGTTTTACTGACTATAATTGCCTTAGAAATGATTATGGTGAAAATGAGTTTCTAAGTATTTTTTCCTTTCCTTATTTTTACCTTTGATCTTTGTTTTGGTTCATCTTTGTTTTTCAACAAATACCTTTTTGAAGTCTTGAGGATGGAATTCTGATTGCTGACTGTAATCTAGGACAGCTCTGGCCATTGTGGCTATTTGTAGAGTGAACCAGTGGATGGAAGATTTCTCTCTGTGTCTCTTCCTCTATGTCTATCACTCTGTCTTTAAAATATATATATCTTTAAAAAATTACAAATCCTGAATGCCTGAACTGGCAGATACTTAAAAATTAGGCGTTTTTGGCAATTGATTGCACGAATGCAGAACATTAGTAATGGCTTGGGTGGATTTTCATGGGAGACAGTATGGTTGGTGTGTCCATAGAAGAGAGAGAAGCTGGGGACAGAATGCATTACATTTGAAGTGTGCTTACAGCATATGAAGAGCATTAAAACTAATTAAAAATCTAAATGCATACCCAAATTATATGGAGATTATGACATTAAGGAGCCGAGGACGAGCATGATAAGAAGAAACTTTATTTCAAAAAACTTAGTGTAGATTTGTTCAGAAAGTAAAAATCTAATAATTGTGTTTTATAGAAGTTCCTGAAGGTATATGGTCTCCTCTTTATTTATTACCTATTTAACTAGAATGTGATTATTTGCAAGGCTTTAAAGAGCACAGATAAGAAAGGTTTTGCATGGTGAGGAGGGGAAAGGAGAACTGAAATATGAAGAACTCTGAGAGTGGGGGAAGCCTAGAATTGGTTTTTTGCTATAAATTTGAAATTGGGATTTAAAATATTCTGAGTTCTAGCTCTACATTTCTTTTTATTAATATTTTGATAATAGGGAAGAACAAGAATTGTTCCCAGAATGTTAGATAAAGAGGCAGTCCTTGGGGGCAGAATGAGAGGGGAAAAAACATGAGGAGTGGCTGTGGTTCCACTTAGAATCCAAGCAAACCAAGGTGATAGAAATATAGTTCACAGCATAAATTATTTTTAATAATTACTTGACCCTTGGAAAAATAATTTATCTTAATAACATTGCACCTGTTTAGAATTAAAACGATAGCTGAATAACTCAAGTCATTTAACTTTCTTTTGAAGACTGTTATTGCTATTGATGGGAGTGTTTTTTAATATGAACTGCAAATCTATGAATGATTCTTTATTTAGTTTGTACAAATGAGGAAGAACAAATGAAGGAGAGGAGAGGGAGACAGGAAACGAGAGAGAGAGCGAGAGAGAGAGTTGATGAGTGGAATATTGAATGAATCAGTGATGCTAGCATAATAAAATGTCTTACAGGTTTCCAAAGTGTCAGAGGCTATTAACTATAGTTAGAGGATATATGTTGCTACAAAGAAAAGGTCAGTGAAGGTAGTATCATCTTTTAATTAAATAACTAATTTTGTAGAGAAGGAGCCAGGGTTATTGTCTAAAAGGTCAAAGTGTTGACTATTCTTAATTGCTTGCATGAAAAAGAGGCAAGAGAGAAGACATATAAGAGCTATAATGAATTTAATCAGAAAACACATTGAAGGACATGCCTTCATTCAGTGCCAACTTAGTTTGAAATCTCAAGACATTCGTGTATGCCACAAAGCCAAACCATTGGTCTGTACTAAGAGTTTGAGTGAGTTTTAGAACATTATTTATGTATTTTGAAATAGAGATTTTAAAAATGTTTGTTTAATGTTCAACACATAGTTGTGTGTTTATCAGGCTCATCAGGCCTTGAGTCTGAATGGGAAATATTCTGAAATAATTTTATTCAAAAATTTTGAATCAAAATAAGCATTGGCATTTCTATGGTTTTTCAGGTTTTGAACCTGCTATCCTAGCCATGTATCATCATATATATAGTCATTCAAGTTCAGAATACAGTTTTAGAATTAGCCAGGCCTTATGTCCAAGTCAGGTTCTGTCATTGACCATGCCTCTTCTCTGTGTGTAAATTTATTTGATCTTTTATTGTGCCCAGTTGTCCCAAGTATGAAATAGGAGCAATATTATCTCATTAAGACTTGTCATATTTCATTTAAAGTTTGCAAGATTCTTAGGACGCTTCTGGCCAGTTGAAATCACAGAAAATAAATGAAAGCTATTATTATTGTCATTTTTGGATGAACCAATTGCAGGTGGGTTTGAGGGGACAGCTGCAGGTTGTTTTCTAAAGTTGGTAGGTGAGCATTCCTCCAGGTGTTTAGTCACTGCAGATACAGGCGATGTTCAAGCTTTAGGAGAATAATAGCTAAGACTCTGTGGGAACAGCTACTGCCTACTCTTCCACTGAAAAATCTCTACTCCTACGCTCAATACCTTGAGAAAATGCTTTCCAGATTGAACCAGGTTGGAGGTGACAGGTTGGGCAAGAATTCATTTTCTCCGTTACAATGCGAGTTGTCTGCAAGGAGAAAGGAGTCACAACGTATTGTGTACTAATCTATAGTGAAAGCATCAAAATGAACAGGCTCTCAGAGATAGTTCATTGAGGTGGGAGCATAATCATTTTCTACTATAGACTTTTTAAAAAAATTTATTTTTTAATCGCAAAGTCAGATATACAGAGAGGAGAAGAGACAGAGAGGAAAATCTTCTGTTCAATGATTCACTCCCCAAGTGACCACAATGGCTAGTGCTGCTCTGTTCTGAAGCCAGGAGCCAGGAATTTCTTCCAGGTCTCACATGCAGGTACAGGGTCCCAAGGCTTTGGGCCATCCTTGACTGCTTTCCCAGGCCACAAGCAGGGAGCTGGATCAGAAGTGGGACTGCCGGAATTAGAACCGGTGTCCATATGTGGGATCCTGGCACCTTCAAGGTGAGAAATTTAGCCGCTAGGCCACCGCTCTGGGCCCTCTTCCACAGACCTTTTATAGTGGCAGAATCAGAAATTCTATCTGGTGTTCAAGTCCATTATAAAAATTGTTATGTTACCTCTGACTCCTGCCTAGAAAGCATAGAAGATTGCATTGTAAAAATTTCTCTGGAATTTTAAAAAGCATTAATTTTCATATATGTTACATATGTAGGGAATTATTTACATCATTCTTATCAAAAGTGTAGTCTACAAATCCAGGGCCTAGGACATTCTTCAAATCTGGTTAGAACAGTTGAACTAAAGCCACTTGCCTGACCTCCTGAGTCAGAACCCATAATTGAACAAAGTGATTGGTATACATATTTTAATTCCTTAGGTCATGGTTTATTAAGATAAATGTAAGTACAAGTCGTTGCTGTTGAATATGGCATGGTTAGACTTTGTCCAAGAAGTACCATTGGTAAGCAGTATAAAGACAGGGACTTGAAATCTTGGTAGCTGCCCTGGCAGCTGGAGATCTAACTCCACCATGAACCCACTAGCTACAGAGCACTGCAGCTTTAAGTATGTTGTGGGGAGAACTCTGAAACTTAATTTCTGTGGATGATGAGGATCAGGACCCTTCCAACTCCTCAGAAAGCCAGGGAAGGAGAAATTGAAGCTTTTGAGGAAATCAGCATTTCTTCACATAAAGTTATATTAGCAAGGATTGATTACTGCAGGGTAACATGTACAGAGAGAAGTGAATTTTCTAATAGCAAGAGTTATGCTTTTCAAAGTATTTCTTCTGCTCTTCAAGTGGCATCCACTTTCAACACCTGGGATACATGCATACACACCCAAATGAACAAAATGAACAAAGATCTATTTTGCTAGAGGAAAAGAAAAAGCATACGATCCTTTTTAAAAGTGAGCCAAATTTTCCTGAAAGCATGTGGGATTTATACAAACCTCCCAGAATTAGAGCTGAATCTACCCATTTTGATATTCCATCCATGTAGAAACAGAGCCATGTGGAGGCCCAGACTGATAAAATGTTCTGAGGGACTGGAAGTGAAGAATAATAGCATTAAAGTAGCAGGTTGCTCTCAACACTCCCAGACAGTGGAGAAGCTGGTGTCCTTCTCTAAATATAGGGCCAGATCTAAAAATTGCACAAATGCTTCTAAACTAGTGTCTTGTAGGAACACACCACCAGCAGGGAATTGGCAGAGTATCCACCCAAAGGATAATCTTTTTCTGCACTTGAGCTTGAAATGGGGCATAGCAGGAGACCTGGGCTCAGAAGGGTTACAAGATGAAAATAGGCAATAGACAGAGATGATACTTTTCAAAGAAAGGGAAGATGTTCCAAGGTGAGAGAAGATCTCACTAATTTCTTTTGAACTATATCATATTATTTTTATTGAATTGGTGTGCAGTCCTGAAAATAAGAATCAGGTGTGCCTTGGAGCCAGAAGACTCGGCAGGCTCCACTGCAAGAAGTGCCTGGCACAAAGGTGTTCATGACATGAGTTAGAGCACCTTGAGCACATCGTGGGTGAGCAGACAGTGCCAAAATGAGAGGGAAAACAGAGTTACCTGTGAATTTGCGAACATTAATGAGCATGAGCATTTTCTGTCTCATTCTGACTGGCAGTGGCTGTTGATGGTCTAGGCCCTGCAGAGCAAGATAGAATTATGTTGTATGTGTTGTGTGGTGATGGATGATGGGCAGGATGGGCAGAGAGGGTTCTAACAAAGTGGGAAGAGTCTGTGGGAAGGAACAACTTCCAGACAACTGAAAAAAAGCCTATCACTTGCAAATGTTGACATAAAAGAAAGCATATGTGGCTTCTTTAAATCCACTTCTTTTAAAAGAATCTATTTATTTTTAGTTTCTGGAGAACGTATCAGTAGTTGTTAAGCCCTTATACCTATAGTATAACATCACAATAGCCATCCAGAACACCAGATATTATCCTCCACTACAGACCAGCCTTCATTTACTTGGTAGCGGCACAGATGACATGACTTGCTAACTAGAAATATCTAAATAAGTCTAAAGTTTAGGTGAAAGTTTTGGTACCTCAGCCAGAAAGCAAAGCAAGAGCCTGATAGATTCTGTATTTAGCAGCTGAATGGTTTCATGTATTTTTTTTTCCATTTAATTGACAGAATTATAAATGAGCAGTCTGTCATTAAATATAAAAATTTCCAAATGATCATAATTATCTATATTGGGTTGCTATATCGATGCATTTCCTATTATAGTGTCCTATGAGACAGAGATAGAGAGAAAATGAGACCATCCTGCAAAGCTTTAACATGCACTTTCTAGCACGTTACAGAAAAACCTTATCAATAGATACTCTAGTATTATTTTATGCTGTTAACAGTTCTAACAGATATTCTTCACTCTCAGTTAGGAAACTAAAGCACAAGAAATTTGTGCAGACTACTTAAAATACAACCTACTGTCAAGAGGGCTGGAATTTCAACTCCTGTTATCAACCTACAGAGCCTGTGGCTCTTACAGTTTTATGTGTGAGTTTATAATTTATTCCATATTTATTTTCCCTCTTCCTTTAAGACCTTACTGTGATCCTTTTTAACAATTCTAGTTTCTTCCTGGACTTACAAGTTAGGTGGGGAGTAATGTTTTTGCTATAATTTTTGTTCATTTTAGGGGAATTGGGAGACCTCAGGCCAGGGCTCCAAGTCTTATTTCATTTATGGGATAAAGAACTCTGTATGTAGGGGGTGTGAGAGTAGCTGAAGACAAAGTCAAGTAGTTGTACTTTGTTGAGTGCTTCTCATATATGAAGTTAGGCAAAAACAAATGAAGAAACAAAAAAGCACTTATGTAAGAAGTAGGTCGTGGTGTCCTGGACCATTAGTAAGTAGTTGATTGCAATACATTGGGGTCATGCTGTAATAGGGCTTGCACAAGGAGCTTTGGGAACACAAGATGGCTACCCTGCACCAACTAGATGTGTGGAAGTCATGGGGCCTGGAGAAATTTCTGACTATTAGAAAGCCTCATAGTCCGTGGTCAGGAAGTGTTGGGATGTTCTTCAAAACCTGAGAAAGCTTTGTAAGAAATGGAGCACTGTATCTTTTGGCACAGTGTATCCCAGAGGCTTTGGCTAGTACAGTAGGAGACCAGGAAAGGGGTCAGTTCTTAAATGTCTTTAAGCATCAAGTCATCATGGTCAATAACTGCCATTCTTTCCGGTTGGTTGTGGAAAAGTCTAAGTGATTTTAATGCCTGGACTTTTTTTTTTTTATATTTCCATTTAGATGATATACTTTGAGGTCAGTGTAGTCCTCGTTCTTGTCACAACAGGCCCTTGGAGCATGGAGATAAGAGTTGCCTAGCATGATTGTTAAAAAATTGAAATAACTGGGCTCTGTTCTAAGCTTCTTACTCCACTTCTTTGGAACAGTAATTATGAATATGCATCTAAGTGATATTTCCAGGTGTTGCTGATGTATCAGTTTCTGAAGAATTGAAGCATGACTTTAAGAAGAGGAAATTAATTTAGGTGATGCTTGATGAGGGTCTGATTAGTGATGCCTGGGCTGAAGTGGCATTTCAATTTTAGAAGTAGCTTGGAGATCAAAATTGACAGTAGTTAGTGATTATTTGGATATGGAAGATGGGTAGCAAAGGAAAAGGAGATGCCTTATTTTAAAAATTCTGGCTTATGTGATTCACATGAGATAGTGATTTTTTTTCCTCTCATCCCAAACTACCTTTTTGCCTTCTTTTCTAGATCAATTCAGAGCCTTTTTCAATGATATCCTTGTTTTTCACTCTGAAATGAGACATTCCAGTCAGTTTGGAAATGTGTGCACATTTTACTTCCTCAGAAATTCACAGAAACATCTCCAGAATAGTGGCTGGAATGTGTATTTAGTGAAATGAAGAGCCTGGTGCACAAAATGGGATATAGTTTGAATTGACTTGCCAAACGTGAGTGATGTGGAGCCTGGCAAGAGAGGCAATTTGGTTCAATAAAGGAAACCTGTTCTGTGGGCAGATTGAGCCCTAGAGAACCAATGAAGGTTTGCTTATAAACCAACATCGTAACTGCTTTTCCTTTTCTGTGAAAAATGCTATTTGGTTAGAACATTTTTATTATCCAAAATTTCTCTGAATAAAATTCTAAGACTTCATGACTCCATAAGCTGGTGTCACAGATAGCACAAAAGTAGGATAAGAAGACTTTCCCATGTATTTGAAGGACATAAATTTGAGGCTAAGTTTACCCTGGTGGTGCTGCATGACACAAGAGCCTAGCACAAAGCCTTCTTGCGATTCCAGCAAAGCCCCAAGCAAATTTCCTTACTCAAAAGAATGCTGCTAATGGAACCATCAAAGGGTTCTGTTTCTTCTTGGTTATGTAACCTTGGCCCAATGTGTGACTGGGGTAGTAATGCATAAGACATGAACTTAGCCAGGAGTTTATTTTCCAACAGGAAAGACACAGTCTGGAGAGAATTTTTTTTTTTTTTGTTTAAGAATGACATTATATTTGCACAGAAACTGAAAGGAAACATTAGAATTACAAGTATAGGAGTGGGTAGAAGAACAGTCTATATTGGAGAGATGGAAAAAAAATGTAGGGAAAATTTTTATTAGTTGGAAGCATATCCTGGAAGCTCATGCAGGTCAGTCTTTGGTGGTTGCATTTCGTTTTATTTAGTCTTTAGAAACCGATATTGGTGACATGCGTTTGGAGCATCTCGGAGTGATATGGGTAAGAAGGGGACCTGAGTAGGGAACATTATACTATTCAAAAAGGGAGCATGTTGAAATAGACCTGGATGGATAATTTGTAGGATGGACTGCCGAATGATGTATAATAAGAAAAAAAAAATATTTCTGAGAGAGGCTATTCTTGAAAATAATGTCCATCTAGCCAGTTCTTGCCCTTTTGGCCTGAGTGTGGTATGTTTAAGCTTGAATTTCATTTTGGAACTTCCCCAGTACTGGGGGCGCATCTATCCCTGGAAAGCATTTTTCTTTCTATACTGGGACTATGAAACTAGCTGGTTATGAAGAGTGCAAGTGAAAAGCTTCAGTGTTTGGCATACTCAGAGAAGGTTTCTGATTTTCTGCTTCGATTCAATTAGTTTGTCAGGAAAAAAGATTTAATAAGGAGTATCAAAATAATGATATACTCTAGAAATATCAAGGTACAGTGCTGCATCAGAATCGTGTGAATACAATATTATAAAAGGGGAGAGTTACTCTCTGAGGAGTGACCGGAACCTAAGCTCTCGATATTCTGCATCGCATGCCTCAGCCTAATGATGAAGGACCTCACTTTTGCACTGTTCTGGAGCTGGTAAAATATGTGATACCCAGACTGATTACAAGAATGTGTGATGTCTTGACTTGACATCTGTAACCTGACTTGCTTTATTGTAGAAGAAGTGCTTAGCATAGCTAAGTATTATTACTATTATTATTAGTATCATTATTATTGTTATTATTTTTTGTGGTGGGCAACGCTGATCAAAGGGGTGTCCTTCTAGGAAGGAACATCCATTTGTGGATTTGGACTTGATACCTTTCCTGCATCTGAGCATCTCTCAAGAGTTTTTCCAGGTCAGTTTCAGGGTCAAAGAAGATGGTAGCTGATCTCTAAGCCAATTACACTCATTACAGTTAATACATAGGTTAATGTCCAGTTACAGCTTCAGGTTCCCAGATACGGGTTCCATGTAGGCAGAAATGGACAAGTTTTTAAAACTGAATGACTTCTACTGCGGAAAAGCTTTTTCTGTGATTTTGTGTGTGTGTGTGTGTGTTTTGAATTAATTTTAATGTAGTGTTTTATTCATTCTTTTTGATTTTTAGTTTTGTGGTACAGTTCCATAGGCTTTGAGATTTTCCTTAACCAATTCCCAAATGCCTCCTTCATGCTGATTTCCCCATGTATTGCAATGTTTTTGTCCTTCATGGGCAGTCAAAAGTCCATATTCTGCTATTTGAGTATATGCTGACATTTTTGGGATGGACACTGGCCAATAGTGCAGGATCCTATTGCTGAGATATGTCCAACTGTTTCATTAGGATTCCATCTTTGATTTGGAAGTAGAGATGCCCGTAGCGTTGTAGCTTCCCATCTTCATATGATATCTCTATTACACAGTTATTGCTCATTCCCTGGATGGGATGCTGTAAAACAAAATCAACTGCAGGAAAAAAGTTTAAAAATTTAAAGCAACGTGGAGTTAAATAACATGCTACTGAGTAATCCATGTGTAATTGAAGAAATGAAAAAGAAAACAAAAAACTTTGGAGAAAATGATGCTACTGTGTGATCTATTGGTCAGTGAGTAATCTGATAAGAGAAAAGAAACTTTTCTGACAAAATGAAACTAGAAACAGAAACATTGAAACCCTTGAGTTGCAACACACACACACACACACACACACACACAGTAACAATAACAGTAACAGTAAAAAACCTGAATGACTTCTTTTCCTTTCTGATTAGGGTCCCTGAGAATGCTCCCTCTTAGAAGCCTTTGGAGAATGAGCAGTCAAGTCTGGATAACCTGAATCAATATTTTCACAAAGAGGAAATTAGAGAATATTATTTGCATAATGTCATGCAGTAGTCTTAGTTTTCTTTTTTCTTTGTTTGGGCTTATACAATAGAAACATAGTAAGAAGAGTTTACCTTAATCTTAAAGTCATGCCTAGCCCAGGGGAGATTGGAACAGGAACTGCAGAGGATGGTAACAAATGTAAGCACGTTGTAAATTTTGAGTGGATTGTAAACATGTGCTAGATGAATGAGAAGGACCTGCCAGGAGACTGTGAAATGGTCCAGTGGGGAAATAACTAATGCATGAACACAAATCTTGGTGACAGGTAGGTTAGCGATCTATGAACTTTCTAAAGGTTAAATGAACGATAATGGGATTTTGTTAATGCACCAAAGTGAATTTAAACTATGAAATACATGATTCAAATATGCGAGTACCTTTAATTGGGTTTAATTAAAAATAATGAGATGTGTTTAAATTAATGACATTTAGAACAAGAGAGCACACGGGCAAATTTGTCTAAAACCAGCTCTCAAAAGCAGTAGTTGCTTGGCAATTTCATTGTTATCAGGAAAGAGAATGCTTTTAATACAATAGATCAGGCAACTTGGTAAGTAGAAAGGGTTCTGGGTCAGTTGAGTGTCATACAAGATTCCCTACTGGCTGGAAGACTTTTTACTCCCAAAAGACAACTTCATTAAAAGAAAAGATGAGCATAGTCTTCAAGTCAAGTGCATTGTTGCACCAAGTCCACTGGATCATTCTCAAAATCTGGTGGCTTTTACTTCAGTTTCCTTACAGTGACAGGCACATTGGTCAGAGTCAATTGTTTGGATTTTGTGCAAATAGAATGATTTTTCCATTGTGCATTGTACTTTTTAGATGATTTTTACCTCATTGTCTTCAACTTCCTAATGTCTTATGAAAATGCTGGGCTCAGCATTTTTCCTGTTTGATGAAAAAGAGAAACAAACTTGCATTGCTCAAGGTTACAAGTTCATTTCAGGACCTAGAATCTGAAACTATATCCTAAGTCCAAGAAAAAAAAATGTTTTTGACTGCAGTGTGAATATTGTACTGGCAAATGCAATAATACAATATACCTCCAACTCCTTGACATGATTTCTGGAGGCAAAAGGATGGAAGTAGTGGAGGACAGTCTTGGTTCAGAATTACTTGATATTGGGGAGTGTGCCAGCAGTATTGATCTTCAGAATACTTCAGTAATGAGGTCTGCTACTTGCCTTAGCACCTATGTCCTGTCTTACATCTTTTAGGAGTGGAACAGAGAAATGGAAAGGGTGTTTTTTAGGACAGCATATGAACTTCCAACTTATCCCTTTGCTTCTTTAGACCATGGAAAATCCCTATCAATGCAAATTCTGATACCTTACCCACCTGAAAATTCTTTTGGAAACTGTGATCCATGCCCCATCCAATGAGATGGCTAAGTGGAGCTGTTCATGGCCTGGCTGGAAAGAATAGCAGGGAGCTGGAAGTGTACTTCGTCTCTATCTCACTCTCTGTCAAGGTCAAAATATTGCCTTACAGGTGACCTGTCTGGTTTATTATTCCTGCTCACAAAATTATGCAAAAAATTAAGAAAAATTATGCAATTATTTTCAAATGTATCACAGGAAGCAGGGCAGTTATATAATAGCTACAGAGAATTAAGCACAAAGATTATTAGAGCCTTAGAAAGGCAAACTAAACAGCTCTGATTAACTGGACATTTATTCTGGCTAAGACACACTTGCATGGAGATAGGGAGCAATTAGATGTACAGCTGCTAATAATGAACATTATCATTCAAAATAGGTCAAGGTAAGCAAATGTGATAGTTATTCCCACATGCTATAATTACCAAGGGCAATTCATTAGATTTCAGATCTGTGTATATCTGGACCATAAAATTACATAATAAATAATTATTCATTGATGTGATTAAAGAGAAATATCTCCAAAATGTATCAAAAGCTGAGAGACACAGATTAAAGCACCATGGCTCCACTATTTGTTATATCCACTCTTATAATAAAAGGAAGTATAGACTTTAATGTTTAAAATGCGCAGGCACCTGACCTTGCATAAAAAAGCAAACTCCATGGAGTCAGACAGCCAAGGTTAAGGAATCATTTCTTATGCTTTTGACAATGAGGTCTCAGAAAGATCATTTTGCTTTTTGATTCTTGGTTTGCTTATTTTAGAATGGGTAGAGAAGTAAACCCCAAAAATATGCTTTGGTGATGAAATAGCATATTACATGGACCTATAGTGTCCTGACAAAGTGATGGTTAGTAATAACATTGAAAATGGTAGCAATAAACCTGGCATAGAAAGGTAGCAATGAATGGCAGCTGAGCCCTGGCAAGAACTGTTGTCTTTGAGTGTGTTCATGTTCAATGTTGTTCTCTGAAATAACAGTACCTCCAGCAGCAACCCCATTTTACTAATGTGAAGAAAGTCAAACATCTCTAGAGCAATGAGCCAGGGAAAACAGAAGCACCAATCTCTTTGGAATACCAACCTAAAAGATGTCCAAGTAGGGAATATGACACCACATAGATTCCTATTTACAAGTGTGCAATATTGTCAATGTTCATTGTGACATGATAGCATAAATCTTGTCTTGTTGACTTAATAAGATGTGACAGTTCTGAATGACAAAGGCTTGTTCTATGCTACCAGGGAACTCATGATAACACCAGAGAACAGTTAAAGGACTCACTTGCAATAGGAAGTTGCTCAGCTTCTCCTTGTTTCTGGAATGCTGACATTCATGGAGCCGGTTGCAAAGACTTCCCAAATTGACAGCTAGTGATGGAGTTGAAAAGACATTAAGTTTGGGGCTTTTCCATCAGCTTTGTTTATTCTATGTTAATTGAGTGTTTTTTTAAATTATCCCTGAACAAGCCTTTTCTTAGTACTATTGTTACTAAGAAAAAAAGGGAGACCTTATAGTGCAGTAAAGACTAGGTAGAAACATGGGTATGCTGTGATCTGGTTAAAAAAGTTAGAAAGCCTTCATTAATGACTTCATGAATAACAATATAGTGAATATAATATTTCCAAGTTAAAAGAAGTGCCTATCTGGAAATCTCAGGGAGCTAGCAGTGAAAGAATTCATCTTGTCATGGAGTAGGGAAGAGAAAGTCAGTTAAAGGTGAGTTGCTTGTTGCTGTGAAAAATTTCTTTTAGTTGGGGGATAATAGGGAGTTGGAAATCTCTCTGGTCTTAGAATTAACTCCATCAATACTAATGCTAGTTATTGCTGTTTTCTTGCTGTCACATTATTCAAGGAAAAAATTGCCATTTAAGAATCTCCATTGCTAATCTCTAAAAGTAACATTTTTCTATTTATTATTCAGAATAGATTATAATTTCTAGTGGCAAGTTGAGTTTTTGTGGGAAAGTTATCTCATTTTTCTCACAATGTCAACATGAGAGAAATGTTGCTAGATTTAAGTTCTTCTTAAAGAAATTGAAGAAAGTATCAAAAATACTAAAATAAGGTTTTAGTTTTCATTGTGATTTTAAAATTGTTATATGATGGGTCTTCAACAAGTTTATGTGAAAATGTGTATTACGAAAAGCCATATATGGAGTTCAGATTCCTTTTTTTTTTTTTTTTTTGCCTTCAAGGTAAACTAAACAATTTCGTTTTTACATTGACTTAAATTTATTTCAAAAGAGGATGGATAGATGATAGAAAGATGGATGGATAGACAGATAATGATCTACCATTTGCTGGCTCCTTCCCCTCACCCCTGGGTCTCCAAAATCCCTGTGGGTACTGAAGCCAGAATTTGGGAATTCAAAATTCAGGTCTTCTGTGAGTTGCAGAAGCCAGAAATCCAGTCCCTTGAACCATCACTGATGCCTTCCATGGCCTGCATCTGTAGGAAGGTGGTGTCAAGAGCCAGAGCCAGGTATTGAACCCAAGTACTCCCATGTTGTATGCATGTGACTTAACTGCCAGGCCAAACTCCTGTCCTCTTCCATTCATTTGAAGTCCCCTCATATAGTCTTATTTGAGCAACTAAAACAACGCTGACACTGGAGTTTGAAATAACCAATCACTTTTCCTTCAGTATTATCTGTGTTAATGTGACATCCTTCAACATGATTCCTTATTCTCATATATGAGAACTATAAAAAGACAAAAACTCAATGGGGATTTTTAACTTGGAGTGCACGTGGCAAATTTAAAGAAAGAAAATGCCATTATTGCTCTAAAATGGACCTGTCTTTAACCTCTCTTCCTCTTTCTATTTCTTTTTTCTTTGTTTTTATTTTTCTTTTCTCTTCTCTCTACCTGTCAAATTATCCACGCATTACTATATCATATATATGTATATATACATTTATAAATCTGTATATTCATGTGGTATATGCTTGGACATAATAGGTATGTTTTTAATCCAAATATTTTTGAAAAGAATTGTGGAGAGTAATATTTGCAATATTTTTGGAGTTTTCTCAAATGGGAAAAATTGGATATTTTTTGCTTTTAAGAGAATAATTTCTATTACATAATAACTAATATTCTTTAGTCCACTGCTTTCACACATTTCCTAGGGGGACACAAAACCTGGTGGGATGTTTGTTTTATAAGTTTAACCAGGTTTGAAAGTCACCCTCTAAACTCTCTTTCCCATTGGGTTCTCATCTCAGGATCCACCTGAAGATCCCTAAAACAAGCGTTAAACTTGCTGTTCTGTGAAAAGTCAAATAAATCCCTACCTCCAGCCCTGTGCCTATTGCTGAGATATGTGTAAATATATAGAAAAACTAGCCTGGCCTCAGAGAGTGTGAATCAGGGACTGCGGAATGTCTATACCATTCTGTCCCCCGTTGAACAGCTATGAAGACTATTGAATAGACACTGTGTTCTTGGACTGGGGAGCCTGTTCTCTGCCAAGGACCATGCCTGGGCCAAACAAAATGATCAAATTAAAGATCAGCCTGCTGTAGATTTATTGAATCCTGAGTCCCACCTGCATTTGCCTTGGCAGGGCCACATCAAATGATTTGGCAGGTCTTATTCACCCCAGCCATGGGCTGGAGACTCCCCACCCCTGCGAGTTGTACATTTACTAGGACCTGTTACCTGGATGGACAGAGGCATAGGAACGACGGTGATGATGGCAAGAAATATGAACCTACGTTCTGAAGCCAAGAAATCCCACACTTGTTCACTACAGTAACAGATGTACCTAGGAAGCTCCAACATAGTTTTTGACATGCTGAAAATTTTATTGTATTGTTTGTGTTTATTTCTTAAGCTTGAGAAAATACATGGCCAATGTTAACTGAAATGTTGCTATCGAAGTATAGTTGTGAGTACTCATTCTTCAATCTCCATAGAAAATTAAGAAACACAGACCCCAAATAATAATAAGAAAAAGAACATCCTAAGCCTGGAAAGGCAGAGTGGCTTATGCTTTGTACTCATTGTGATGGCAACTGAATAGCTTGTATTACTGTAAAAATGTCCTTGAAACCACTGATTATTTCTTGCTGTAGATGGCTAGAAATTTTGAGTCTTATCTGGAAAAATCCTAGAAGCATAATCTGTCAAGTCAGCATGTATGCAGCATTTGTCAGTACTCTCTATGAGAATATTCAGAAGATGCTTTAGTTTGATTCATTATCACCAGCTCTTGCGTGTTAAACTTGAGGATACATTTGACTACTGCACTGTGAAAAATTGGATTGGTCCTTTTCATCTCTGTCATCTTTGCCCACACATTTAAAGTAATTTGTCCTTTGTTTAAGCCACAGCTGTGTTATTCAAGTATGATTTTTCCCAATAAAGAATACATATTGCACTGACAACCTGAATCGTTTTAGTTTTGTCGATACTTACTTTATATCTAAAGATTCAGCAACACAACAATAAATGAGAAACTTTGACAGAACCGAGATCATAGCACCTTATATTAAAGGTACACAAGTCAGTAATTCTCCATGTGCCTATATTATGATATGTGTGGAACTTTCTAAAACTACAAGATCTAGGTAAAAATTCTTTCTGGTTAGGGATATTTTCCAAACATTGAATAGCACTAGGTTTTCTGAGACGCAACATCTTTACAAGAAATACCACTGATCTCCTTATATAAGTAATAGCAGATTTCCCACAGTCACCCTCTAAAAATGGAAAAAGTTAGTAAACATTCCATTGTCATTTTTATTCCTATTTTGGAAGGCAATGTGTTCCAGTTAAGAAGTTGTTTTGCCACTAATAGTATTTAGAAAAGACATTATATATTGCAACAAGGGCTCTAGAAATTTGAAGGGTCTCATAATCCAAGAAGCCTAATTTTAAAGTAGCTAGTTTAATACAAATTTATGATCACCTAAGAAACAAACAAAAATATGGGAAAGAGTATTGAAGAAAAGAAGAAAAAAACAGGAGGGACTGCATGTGAGTTTGTCTATTGTTGCTCATATATTCACGTGTGTGTATGTACATATACATATATGTATATGTATATGTGTGGGTTTTATATTAATGTGGGCATTAATGTATTAATGGGGTATTAATGTAGGCACACAGAAATAAACCCATTCTTGTGAAGTGACAGCAACTGACAAGGAGTGCTGTTTTACAAAGGCCACATTCAACAAAATCAAAGGAATGTAGCAGTGACACCACCGAACAACTAAAACTTCTAACCCTTGGGGCCAGCATTGTGGTGCCTACATGAACCTTCCCCCTGCAGTATTGGCATCCAATTTGGATGCTGACTCCTGTCGTGGCTGATCTGCTTCTGATCAAGCTCTCTGCCAATATACATGGAAAAACTATTAAAGATATCCCAAGTCATTAGGCCCCTGTCCCCACATGCAAGGCTGAAGAAGTTCCATGCGCTTGGCTTTGCATCCGTCCATCTCTGGCCATCTGGCCATTTGGGGAATGAACCAGCAGATGGAAGATTCTCCGCTTTTGCTTCTCTCTCTGTAAAATCTGTCTTGCAAATGAAAATAGACACACTTTAAAAAACACACTCCTACCCTACAAAACACCTAAACTCAGTTCTTCAGCATAAAGAAGGTGGACTACTTTCCATTTTGTGCTCCAATGCTAAAGAGCAGAGAGCCAGGCGTAGCTTTGAGACAGATTTCTTCCTTCTTGGCTCATCTCCATTTTCAGTGTGCAGTGTTCGAGGTTATTACAAAAACCTCGAGCAATGAGAACATAAGCATCGGTCATGAGATTTTATGCATTTCCAGGACTTCTTCACGTGTGACTTCCATTTACTTCCAGTTGGCTAGCACTGAGCCATGAGCCTAAACACAGCTGCAACGAGGAAAAAATAAAACTAGCTTTTCCTGTTTTCCCAATGAGAAGATGATTTTTTTTTTTGCTAAAAATGCGAGATGAGTGGTTTGTGATTTTATTTGATTTGTTGATCATTGAACTTTTAATACCAGTTCAAATTGTTTTAAGTCATTATTAAAATTGATGGGACAAAATAGTATTATTCAAAGTTCTTACAATACTGGAAACTCCACAATGCTTATGTGTTCAGTCCTTATTGATGTTGAGTGTAGAAGTAGATACTGTTATTCTCACTCACACAGATGAGAAAAATTATATTTAAGTAGGATTTGTTTGATGATTGACAGAGCTAAATTTGGGTCTAGCCATTTCTTGCCATGGCCTAGGATCTTTATCACTGAAACATATTGTTTCATCAAACAGACATTTTTCTTTCATGTGTTTGTTTGAGTTTATTTTGTCTCTTTATTAAAAACCAGTTGCTTTATCCTCCTGTGCCTGATATTTGCGATCTACAAAAGGGGACAAAAATACCAACCTCCTACTCCCTCTGTATTTCAAACCAAATGCAATAACAGCTGTGATATGTGCTCAACTCCCTTCAATAAGGGATATATAATATCCTTCTAGATTAAATCAAAATAATATTCTAAAATAATTTTATTTATTTATTTTCACTGTATTTGAGGGAGAGAGAGAAAGAGGGAGAGAGAGGGCTAGGAAGGGAGGGAAGGAGAGAGGGAGAGAGGGATAGAGATAAAGAGAGAGAGAGAGAGAGAGAGAGAGATCTTTATCCTTCGGATCACTTCCAAAATCCCTGCAAGAACTAGAGCTTGGCCAGGTAGAAACCAGAGGCAAGGAATTGTATCAGCAGATGTGTCATCATCTGGTGCCTCCCACCGGGCACACAAGCAGGACACAGGATCAAAAGTTGAGCCGTTAGGATGTAAACTGTGCACTCCAAAATGGGACGCACAGTTTCGAAAGTCCATGTAACTGCTACACTGAATTCTTTGAATAAGTAAGACATTCACAAGATTCAGCTTTTGGAAGTTCCTACAAGATTTGGAGAGAAGTTTCCAAAACACCCCTGTTTCCACTTCATCCTACTGCTAACATAAAACTGGATTAATTTTATATTCATACACTGTGTTCACTTGTTTGTTGAGAGAGACCATGTTTCTAAAACAATAATTGTTCATTTTAGTTGCTTGGTCAGTCTATATTCAAATTAAATTTCTTCACATTTATTTTCCTGTAAGATAGTGCATTAATTGTAGGGATTTATTTAGCAACTTCACTAATATTGGACATTTAGGTTGTTTATAATAGTTTTGCAAATTATCAATAATATTTGTAGGACAAATTCTTCAAAGTGTTATTATGATAAATTCAAACTGACATCTAAATTAACATCCTGTATTAAATGACTGAATCAGTCACCCATGAACATCATAGTAGGAAAAGAGACATATAATACCTTCTTGGCTGCCTCATAATAAAGCTACTGTGGAAGAAATTGAACTACGATCAGAAGCATCAAATAATAAATGGGTCTAGCCGTTAGTTCTTATTCAAGATGTACCATTATCCAAGTTTGTGACCTGTTGTTTTTTTCGGTTTCATAGTTTATATGTTAAGAGGATGATTATTGTTCTTATGTGCTATGACATTGCACAGAGTTTATTAATCTAATTCAGATGATATTTTGAATATTAAATCATAACTATAGCTTTACCATTTTGTTTAATTCTAAATTAAAACTTATCTGGACAATAAGATGCTGGACTCTATGCTTGGTATATGCTTGCAATGAAAGAACCTCAACTGAACTTGAACTGTGGCAATGTGGCAAGGTGGAGGAATCCACCATGGCTGGAGGGTTGAGGGAGGGGTCGGGGGAATCCCAATGCCTAAAAAAATGTGTCATATAATGCAATGTAATAAAAAAAAATAAAATGAAATAAAAAAACACAACAAGACTTCAGATACTGTTACCAATTTGTTTTACATCAAAAACAGAGCTGAAAAATAATGACAATTCAAGTAATTCAGAACTTTATTTCTCAGCCACTTGGACTCTGCCTGCTGTGCTGTTCTGCTGTTCTCAGGGTGGAGCAGCTATCTCACGGTCCAAGATGATTCTGAACCACTCCCATCCCTTCCATATCTCATACAATAGAAGAGCAGAAAGGACAAGAGCTAATGTTCCTTCCTTCTCGGACATAACTTGTGAGCTTCACAAGACATTTTCCTCAGAATGCTCTAGCTAGAACACAGCCACATGTAATTACAGCAAAATTAATGTTCTCTGTTCTGTTGGGGTTAAAACATGGAATTCAACGATTATGAGAGGAGAGAATGAGGAACAATAGTCTATTTCACAGCACATCTTTCTGTGAACGTGGTATCTTTTCTCAATTTGTCATGTGCAGCACATACTCTGTCACCCACCACCACAGTCACCAAGGAAGACAAATCTCAACTCCTGCATGAGTGAAGCTGTGGGGGATGCCAGAAATTCTGGGTCATAGAAGCAGCACCACCGGGTGTGAAGCCTGCTGACCTTGCCCTCATTCATAACCTATGCAGTGGGCAATGATGGAGATAGGAAGCAGATTACCACCACAGAAACTCATAATCAGAGAAGTATGGGATGAAAAGTATCATAGGACTAAATGACAGACACCATTTGTCAGATCCAAATTGGCAGGCATTGTTGAATCTTCTGCTCTGGCAGTAGAATAAATTCCTTAAATAGTTCAGTCTATTTGCTTGGAAAGGATTCCCCATCATTTGGCTCCCATATTCTTTGGCTTGTCCTTTGGGAATATTTTTGGCTCTTAATTGTCTGCCACTACATATTAAGCAGGCACTAGAGCCTGTGTATCTC